TTTCCCTTTACGTGTTTATGGTTCTAGAGTCTTATCTCTTGCTCCAGAAATCATCAGAACTATTCTTTTCTGCCTTATCCAATTTAAAAGATGAAAACTTAAAATTACTTGAGCCAAGTGATGGGAAAAATTGTGGTGTCAAGACCAATTTACTCATACAAAATGGATTTATGGGCAAGTCATTAAGTACCAGGGAGTACCAGGGAAGCCTAATGAAGACTAATGTAAAAGATATGGCTCTCCTAAAGTGATGGATAAAATGCGTTTGAGGCGACCATGCTCTTTCCAAATAAATTTAAAAAAAAATTTTTTTTTTTTTTCCAAGAGCTTCAGCAGAATGTAGCTGTTCTGGAGAACAAACGAGAGGCTGGCTATTAACCCCTTCTTTCATTTGGCTCCCAGTCTTCTGAGGTAGAAAAGGCTCACTTAAAAAAATACATATATAAAGAGGACATAGTGGCAGCTATTATCAAAAACAGCCAGATACTGAACGGTGCGATTGCAGAACCCAGTGGGAAAGGGCCTGTCTGCACTCTGTTACCAAAGCAGATAGCGGAACCCCAACAAGTTCCTGCTAAAACTCTTTTCCCTCTAACAGCAGGATTTCCCAAACTTGCACATTTGTAAGTAACTCCTAGGTTGGGGCCAGCAGGTGAAGTAGTGGTTAAGGCACTGGGCTCTCACATGGCCAGCTACAGTTCAAGTCCCAGGCTTAGAGCCTTGAAACTCACACCGGGCATGTGTGCGTGTGCGTGTTTATGTGTGTGTGTGTGTGTGTGTGTGTGTGTGTGTATACTCAAAATCCCAAGAGAAGAAGGGATTGTGACATGGCCATTCCTCCTGAGGGGTGACTTCTTACCTTTTCTCTCTCTGTCTCTTTGGTGAATGCACAGGCCCTATAGCAAAAATATCTTTTTTTAAAAAAAAAAAAATCTCCTAAGCTTGTGCAGATTCCTGGATCCTACCCCAGAACCACTGAATAGATTCTGCAAGTGACCCAATTGATTTGGGTTTAGGAAGTAGATGTATAGCCAAGGCTGTGCTCCCCCAAAATGGGCACTGTTCGCTTGGCAGCTGGGTCTCCTCCTCACGTGTAGATTTGCCCTTCAACCTAAGCATGTGGTCCTATGCTTTAGCTAAGATTTCCCTCCTTCCGCTTAGTGTTCTCTGCTTTTTCCTTCAGACGTGACTCAGGTATCACTTTCTCCAAAAGTCTCTTGCTCTCTTGCTGTGCCATGCCTTGGCCAAGAAGATCCTCCCTGCACTGCTCTCTGTATAGAATTCTATCCAAGTAGAACATCCATTGTGAAGTCTCCCTGTCCGTGTTTTTCCCCCTCTGCAGGTCCATGGCCTTGTCTTATTTGTGCGATAGCCCCGGTTCTATGTGCTTGCTCTTAGTAGGTGCTGCTTCAAAGTTTGAAATACTGATTGCCTTCTGGGAAAAAACTGTTAACTAGAATGCAGATGAGGCATGATGGAAGTATTATCTGTGGGAAGCTTAGAAGAACATATTTGTGCTTTACAAAAAGATGTAGAAAGTTAATGCTAATAACATCTTTAAAATAACCAATACTGCCAAAACAACTGTCTAGGTTTGCGGTTTTTTGTTGTTTTTTTTTTTTTTAATTTTCTATCATTAACTTTTAGCTCCTTCTAATTTTTTGCTTTTCAAAGTTTTTTCATGCTAAACTGTAAGTACTCTTGGAGTAGGTGAAATTGCTAATAAATAGTTAATAAATCCCTGTGAACTAGATGGTCACATCACAATGCATTGTATGGATTTTTAATCACAAAATAGACAGCCAGTTTCACCTCGGTCTTATGAGTGAAGAAACTGGCATAAAGCGGTTTGGCATTTACGATAGAAAATGAGGGGCCAGCAAATGGCTTAGCAATGTCACTGGACTCCCACATGACCGACAGCCATTCGAATCCCAGACCCTTTGGCCTGAAACTCATGCCAGGCACATGTGCGTGCGTGCCCAAGATCCCAGGAGATCACTCACCAGAGAGAGAGACAGAAACAGTGAGAGGGACAGTGAGGAGGAGGATGGCCATGTCACGATAGCTTCTCCTCACTGCCCCTTTCACTGTCTCTGTCTCTCTCTCTGGTGAGTGCATGTGTCCTAAGGCAAAAACCTCTACAAAAGAAAGACAATGAACCTAAGACTTAGAGTTGAGTCCCTCTCAAGCCTACAGGTTCATAGTCCCTACAAGTGTCCAACCACAAAACAGCACATGCTCAAGAGGTAAGTTTATACACCAAAGGGACGACTTGTTTTTACTGATTTCATTAAAGGTGCTGAATCTGTTGCAGCATTTACTTTGAAATTTTTCTCTGTACTGAACACACATTGTCTATATTCTGAGTCCTGATTGTCTTGGATAGGGGTTATAATTATCTGTTGAGACTGTGGGGCTAAGAAAATAAGTTGGCAGGTCAGTGGAGAAGTTAAAAGTTGTTGAGCAAAATAATCCGTTAATCCCACTTTAAAAAATCTTTCAAGCCTTAGAGGCTAAGGGGTATAGGAAAAAGGGGGAGGTTTTAAACAGGGTGTGGGATGTGGATGGTCCAAACAGTACGATCTGAAATTTGTTGTTTTTTTTTTACTTACCTTAGGATACTGATTTTTCTTTAAGAAAATTATCTTACTTAAATTATGGACACTTTCATTTATGCGTGCCCTTTACACAGAAGTGTAACTTCATCTTCTGGATTCTCAGTTCAGAGCCGTGTGTGTGTATTACTGGGTTTCTTTGCATGGTGCGTGCATGTACGTAGTTGCTGAACAAGTGGAAAACCAATAACCTCGCGTTCTAGCTTACCCGAACTGCTGAGCCTACCTGGATTCACTTTGAGAGATCTACACACAACCGCTCTGAGCCCAAATTCAGAGCAGGGGGTGGATATACTTGGAGTGAAATAAGCAGTGCTATTTACAGAAGAAGATTAAGTGAATTATTTTGATGAAAACAAACAAAAAAACACTTAAGTTCTTGAGGAGAAGCCTTAAAATACTGCATTTTAAAGTCTCAGTGCTGTATAGCTACTATGATAGTGATGCTAAATTTGACTAAAACAGAAAAATTCATTTCCAGGGTTATTTTACTCATGAGTTCTGCTTAAGTTGCTACAGTTTTGTTCATGTGTTTACTAAAGTATTTTAGGAAAGATTGCTGTTATATAGCAGGAAGAATTTCGAAAGGAGTGATGGGTAACTTTGCCTGATAGGATTGATTTGTGTGAATAGTGCTGTTTATTTCAGATCCTTGTACTTGAATTTAAGGATTTTTTTTCTTTACTGTTTACGGCACATAGGGGCTATAGCCATAATTGAGTCCTTCAGAATCTTTGGCTGCATTAGTATCTTTCTTTTTTGGGGGGGTGGGGGGACAAGGGAGGTTTTTGCTTTAGGGTGCATAGGCTCACCAGAAAGAGAGACAGACAGAAAGCAAGAAATCGCCCTCAGGGGGGATGGCCCCTCTGCAATCCCTTCTCCATTCTCCTCTCGGGATCTTAGGCATGCACGCACATGTCCCCAGCGTGAATTTAAGCCACCAGGACTGGGACTCGAACCACGGCCGACTACATGGGAGTCCAGCGACATAGTCATTATGCCAGCTGCTGGTCCAGCATCTTTCAGAATGCTGTTAAAGGTTGTGATTAGCCTGACCATCTTCTTACTAGCTGTGTGACCTAGAACAGGGTGTTTTAACTTTTTGTGTGTATTTCTTCATCTGTAAAGTAAGGATAAAAGCAATACCTACCTCATAGGATAGTGGTATTTTAATTGATTAATACATGTGAAGGGCTTATGAAAGTGTTGGCTGTAGTATATACAGGCAGATAATAGCTTGCTTTTAAAAAAAATAATAAGAATTTTTGTCTTAAGGCACGTATGCTTGTCAGAGAGGGACAGAGAGTGAGACAGAAAGTGAGAAATCACCTCCCACGGGGTATGGCCGGACTGCAGTCCCTTCTCCATTCTTTACCTGGGATTTTGGGCACACGCACACACACACACACACACACACACACACGTACGAAGCGTGATTTTCAAGCCGTCATGTTCAGGATTTGAACAGTGGTCAACCATGTGAAAGTCCAGCCGCCTTAACCACCATGCCACCTGCTGATCCCCAGATATTAGCTTTTAATTTTAATTTCAGGTAGACCATTTAGGCATTCATTATTCATAAACATGCCTCCCCTGTATAGAAGGGACTGTAAAACAGGACCGATTTCAGCTTAACTGTTCCATCACATTTGGGGGCAAATGATTTGATCTTTCTGTGCCTTTATTTTCATCAAAAAAAAAAAAAAAAAGGAATATAAAGACCTTCTCCCAAGGGTTCTAGAGAAGTTTAAATTGATGGTGTTTATGGAGCTCTTCGCAGAGTGTAGCATGAAGTCAGCATTCAGTGAATGTTGGACGTGGTCCTGGTTGTAGTGGGTAAACTGACTCTGTGTGAGGCCGCAGTGACCCGCGACTGGGAGTGGGGGCTTTGTGAACACAGAGCTTAGTTCACGGATGAGGCTGTGCTGTGTGGTTTGGGGACCGAATGAGATCATGAATGTACAGCACTTAGCTTGGCATGGATGCGTACAGCGCCCTGCACACGTGTTTGCTGTCATGTAGCCCGGGGTGGGAGGGGGGGTGCTACTACACATGTGGTCCTTTGATACTTGATTTTCTATGAGGATGTTAAGAGCTACAAGATTTTATGTCGAATAATGAACTTTTGTCTTTACCTTGATTGCTCCTTTTCATATTTTTGATCAGGATTGTTACAATGAGTCTGCGGAAGCAAACCCCCAGTGACTTTTTGAAGCAAATCATCGGACGGCCAGTTGTGGTAAAATTAAATTCTGGAGTGGATTATCGAGGTAATATTTTCATGTTTCATCCTCACTAAAGTAACTAAACAAATAAGTGGAACTGCCCGGGTTTTATTAACCTCTTAAATATACTCAGTAGACCCAAGGATTGGTGGTCAACAGTTATTATACCCATCTCTTTTTCATCTTCTGAGATGGTCCTGTTAGAGAGGCAGCTCTCACAGGGTAGTATGTACTTCTGGCTTCTGGCATCATTTGTGTGTCTTCTTGCCCCGATGTGTGTGCTGGAGTTCCCTGGGATTCCCCGTCAACTCAGGCCTGAGTAACTGCATACAAAGAGCACCGAGGTGTAGCAGCATGTGTTTGTTGGAAGTATTCAGATTTGTGTAGAAGTATTCAGATTTGCAAAGATCTGTGTAGACAATATAATTTATAGCACAAACTTCCCATTCTTATTAACACGCGGGGGTGGGGGGCAGGGAAATCCAAAGACATGTTTCTTGGGCCCAGCTGTGACACGCAGCGGGAAGCACACTGAGCTTCAGTCCTGGAAGCCACATGGGCAACCGCAGGTTTGGATCCCCAGGTCAGCCTGCACATAAACTGGGTACAAGCATACCCAGGCTTCTCCTATAAGCTGTAGGGCTAGGGGAAAGGGATCGTGCTGCAACAAGACCGTGTTGAAGTCACTCTTCTTTCTCTGTCTGTCTCAAGTACTCACACACATGCACACACACACACATATTATGAATTTTTTTTAAAAAGTTCAAAGATACCTTTCTGTCCTTGTAGAGGATACTCTTTTTAAGAGGCTGTAATACTTCTAGAATTAACTTTCCAGGAGGAAGGGTATAAAATTCCATTTTTTAAAGTTATTAAAATTTTAATCTTCCAAGATTAAGATATGTTAAATTACCTAGACTGTTTCACAGGTGTAGATAACTAATTCATTAGCAGAGTTTTGTGCCCTTTTCTTGGTCTCTTCTGAATAATTAATAATGATGGTAATCTCTTGAGCCTTTCCCTCTTTCCACACTTGCAAACATAATTTTGTTGAGAGCTTACTACGTGCCCTGTGTGTGTTAATCACTTTAATACATTTTCATTTATCTTCATAGAAATCCTTTGTGATCTCTTGATTATCCCCACCTCATAAGAAGAGCTAAGATTCAAACTCAAGCTTGACTCAGAAGCCTTGTTAAGAAACCACTGTGCCGTTTTTGTACTACTTTAGTTTCTTGACATTAATTACATATTTTCAGTTTAATTTTTATAGTGGAGCTAATGGATTTGTATTGAATACTTGAGATACTGTGAAGTCTGTGTATTCTTCTCATTCTTGAACTATTGATGAACCCAAAGGAGATAGTAGATGTGTAGGAATTTGAGTATATTTGACTATTGATGAGAAATAGACACACTTTTCGATATCTTCTTAGGTGCCATCTAGTAGCATGATGGTTAAAGGCAGCTAGATTCCACATGGCCAACTATGCGGTTCAAATCCCAGACCCAGCAACTTGAAAAATATACCAGCTGCGTGTGTGCCCATGATCCCAAAAGGAATGAGAAATGGAGGAAAAGTGGCATGACTATCCCCCATGAGGGAGGGGGAGTGTTTCCTTACTTTCTCTCTCTCTCTCTTTCAATAGAGAGCACACATGCCCTCTGGCAAAATTTAGAAATATCTTCTCAGTACCCACTTTATTTATTTATTTTCTTCTCAATAGAGCATGTGTATTCACACACACGTGTGAGAGGGAGAGAAAGAGAGAGGAGCGCCCTTCACAGGGTCGGCCACACCCTGATCCACTCTCTTCAGTCCTCCAGCCCATCAGATACTGGGCATTTATCAGGCACGCCCTGCATGTTTCAGGCTGTCCAGGCTGGGGATTCAAACCCCAAGTGCCACGTGGGCTCTGGCTTGTTGTGAGCAGCACATCAACACCGTGCCTCAGAGCTAACCCAGTTGATTGAAGAGACCAACCAGCCTGACCTTTTTTCTTCTCTGTTCCTTAGAAATCTGTTTCTATTAAAAAAGGTAATACATGTTTAGTTTGTCTATTTTTAGAAATTTAAAAGCAAATAATGGAGAAAAGTACATAGAAGAGAGCAAAACCTCCCAAAATTTTACCAGAGATAATCAGTCTTATCTCTATATAATTTTGGGGGACCAGCAGTTAATGGCTATGTTGCTGGACTCCCATGTAGTCGACCGCGGTTCGCGTCCCAGACCTGGTGACTTAAACTCACGCCGGGCACATGTGCATGCGTGCCCAAGATCCCAAGAGGAGAATGGAGGAGAAGGGATTGTGGTGTGGCCATCCCTCCTGGGGGGTGATTTCTCGCTTTCTCTCTGTCTCTCTCTCTGTCTTTCTGGCGAGTGCATGCACCCTATAGCAAAAAAAAAATAATAATAATAATAAATAAACATAATTTTGGATAAAGGGAATCGGGTGTACATGCAATCTGATTTTTTTTATGCTCATTATTACACATTTAGTTTTGCAACAATGTAGAGGTTTTAATAGTGACACAGAAATCCCTATGTGGATGTACCATAGTTTTATTTTAACTAATGTATGTCCCCTGAGTGATAGAGAGTGGGAACCCCTGCCAAGGTCTGCATGCCACAGTCCACCCCAGCCACAGCCAGCTAGGATCCCAGGAGTGTGAGCAGTTACCCGGCACACACAGGGAGGCCTCGGGATGCGAACCCAGGACTTTCCCATTTGGGTTCAGCATTACAGAGTGTCGTATTATCACTGTGCCATCGACTGGCCCTGTTTTTGTTTTTAACCAGTTTCTTATTAGTGGACGTTTAACTATTTACCAATATTTGACCATTATTAGCAACTCTGCTCCTTTGGTATGTATTTTGTGCACTTGTTCAAGTAGCTCTGGTATAAATCCCTGGACTAGGCTTTCTGCCCTGAGTTTGTCTGCCTTCACACCCTTAACAGCCCCGTATTGACTTACATTCATCTTTCCCAAACTCATTGACAACACTAATATCTCATTCATACTTTCTTTGGTTACTGAAAATGAGATTAAACAACCTTCCATGTGTTTAGTGACCATAATTTTTCTTCTCTTGTGAATATATATTCATGGTTTCTTTGTTTTTTTAATTATTTTATTTATCATTATCATTCTTCAATTTAACCAGAAAGAGACAAGAGAGAGAGAGGGAAAGTGAGAAAGCAAGCTGCCAGGTCCAGGACTCAAACCAGGGTTGACCGTGTGGGAGTCCAGCACCATGCCACCTGCTGACCCCCATGGTTTCTTTCTTACTGAGGCAAGATGTTTTTTACTATTAGAGAACCTTACTAAAAGAATACAGTTATTTTCTGGTTAAACTAAAGCAAACAAACAAACAGATCTTTGTAGCAGTTTCTCTTTAAGTTTGGGAAAAAAAGTCTTGATTTCTGTAATCTATAGTGGTTTATCCTTTGGAGAAGGGAGAGAATTATATTCTCATCTGGACAGGTTGCCTTTTTTTAAACCTTTGCCGTGTTAGGTATTTTTATTAGAAATAAACATTTCACTTTGAAATCATTTTGATTCATTTTTAAACATTTGCTTGTCATGTCTTGATGATGGTGGCTTAGATGTAAGATAATACAGCAGAAAACAAACCATGAAGTTGTATCTTGCTACTTTTGCTAGGAGGTAATTGTTAATAATTGTCACAATCCATTTTCACTTTTTTTGAAAGTTTACAGCTTCTAGCAGAATTCTGCTCGATAAATGTCTTGTGTTCTCATTGCACACACACAATTTTGAATAGAAACTTTTGTTTGGAGGATAACGGGGGCAGAGCAGAAAGTGAGGAGCATATTAATGAAGTGAAGACTTTAAATGAAACTATTGACTTAGTTCATCGAATCAGACCTGTAGTATTTTGTTCTTACTAACATTTTTTTTTTCTATGATAGAAAATACCACTTTAAATTAGAGACCAAATGTTAGAGGCTTTCAGATTTTCATCTTTCTGGGAAAAAAAACAAAAATCATTGGATCAAATTTTGGAAAATATATACCATCTTAACACAATAAAAACGATTCACTCAAACGGCTTCCTTGAAAGCTCCCTAGAATGTTTTTAGCCATCTTTCTCCATTAATTTTGATTTGAAAATATTCTAACTGTAGCAAAACAGAATGGGATGTGTTGGCATGCAATATGCTGCCCTGTAGTTTCAAGCTGCTCTTCACTGTGAGTCACAGCTCTAAGATGTTCTTTCAGGAGCACCTGCTGTCTCCTCTTCTATTATTTTAACAGATTGTGGAGACTTCCTCTTAACCCTGGAGTACATTCATCTGCGGCAGTAGATGTTGTGAGAGAGTGAACTCAATCTGCCAGACCCGCATTTCACTGAGTCAGAAATGCCACTGGCACCGAGGATCATTGGTTCATGCATAATTGCCCACTCCTGTCCTTAGCTTTCAAAGAACGGTATTTTAGCCGAAGTATTCTCATTCTGTTCCTTTTGTGAACACTTTCCAAGTTGTCACGATCATGCATACTATGAGGGAAGGGACCGTTTGTTGTTGTCCCTGGCGGTAGTGGATGCGTGATGGCTTCCACGTTACATAGTTCCCAGCCTTCGTTCAGACCGGCAGAAAGTAAAGACTTGTTTTGTGCATGCGTCTGTTGAATCGCATTTATGGTGGAATTTCTATATTCAGCATCGAGAGCTGATGAATGAAATGCCAGCTCTAAGGTGGATCCTGTCAACGTCAGCCCTTATTTGCTTTCTGTGTCTTCTTTTTGGCTGACTCTGTCTCCAGGGGTCCTGGCTTGCTTGGACGGCTACATGAACATAGCCCTGGAGCAGACAGAAGAGTATGTGAACGGGCAGCTGAAGAATAAGTACGGGGACGCGTTCATCCGTGGGAACAACGGTAATCCCCCTGCGCTCTACGTGGTGCAGCATCCAAAATAAGCCTGTGTTTATAGTCAGGATCACCAGGGCGTTTCTCTAGATCATTTGAAAGTTCAGTTTTAGGGAGGCAGTAGGTGGTGTGGTGGTTAAGGTGCTTGACTGACCACGGTTCAAGTCCCAGACCTGGCGACCTGAAATGCATGCTGTGTACATGTGCCCAGAATCTCAGGAGGAAAAGGGAATGCGGCGTGGCCATCCTCGCTAGGGAATGATTTCTCACTCCTTCCCCACCCCTCCTCCCCCGCCAAGTAAGCACATGTGCCCTATGGCAAAAATCCAGAAAACAAAGAAAGAAAGGAAAAAAGAAAACGATGCTGTTTCATTATTAACTGAAATCAATTGTGACAGATTTACTGATTTCCTTTCCTACATCTCTAGCAGTTATACTTCTCATGTTGAAGCCTTCTTGGATTCCAGGACTGTGATGTATATTCTGTCTTTCTGGGCACTGGTGGCAGAGTCAGTCAGATCCATAGATATAATTAGGACACAGTGCGGAAACATCAAACGCAGGCCTAGACTCATAAAACTAATTTTATAGTGCTTATAAAATTAATTGTGTGCTATCAGAATTTAAAAAAATTTTTAAGAGGTGTCAGGCCAGAATCAGTTGCTTTTAAAACTTGTTGCTATGGGGCTGCTAGGTGATGTGATTAAGGTACTGGACTCTGTCATGGCTGACTGTGGTTCAAGTTCAAGTCTTAGACCTGGCAGCTTGCTTTCTCTCTTTCTCTCTTTCTCTCTCTCTCTCTCTCTCCCTCTCCCTCTTCCCTCCCCCCCCCCAGTAAACACATGTGCCCTATAGCAAATGTAAAAATAATAATAATAATAAATTAATTATTATTTGGGGAAAAACTTGGCTACTGTACTAAAGAGCAGCTTTTCAATTTATTTATTTTTTTCTTTTCAGTGTTGTACATAAGTACACAGAAGCGAAGGATGTGAAGACGCCAAGAGAGCAATAGTTTTCATAGTTGGATATATTTTTTGTGAAATTCTTTTCTACTTTTTGGTTCTTTTGTGATGTAATTTGTCCTGTTTCGTAATAGTTGGTGAGTTTTTAACTGACATGTGAGTAAGATCAATGTATACAGCTGTGGATTTAATTGTAAAAAGTTCTTTGACACTTAAATTTCAGTCGTTTTCTTTTACCTCTATGTCAGTGTACAGAATGCCGAAAGAATAAAAAAATGACAAAATCTGTTTCTTCAGAATTATTTAACTCAACCATTTCAAGCAGTGTCACGTCCTTTGACTTGCCTTACTTATTTGGCAGACTGAAACGGTGCATGCGGTGGGCATAGAAGGAAAACACTTAGAGCCGTCCTCCTTTATCCCTCCCTCTTCCATTCATCACACGAAATACTCGAGTGAAAATGTTGTCCAAAGGCTTCCAGTGTCAGTCAGCAGCCATGAGAGACAGCCCTGAGGTTGGAAGTTTTGCTGATTCAGTCACCTAGAGAGAATTTGGGATCTCACTGTGGCCCTTCACAAAAGGAATGAGAATCTGCATGGAGTTGGGGAGAAATCCTGAAGATGAACGATGTGGCAGTCACTGGGCAATGAGGCCTTTCAGGTTTGCTTGCTCTCTTTCAGGAGCATTGGCATCATTGTTACTCTCAGTCTGAGAGCCCGGTAGGGGAGGAGTCCTTCCGTCCATCTGCAGTTATGTAGATTAAAGCAAAGCTTAGAGTTTATAAACCCATTCAGGTTCCATTTGCTAAGCTCTGACTGGGAAGCAGTGTCTCCCAACCCTTGCTTAGTGAGCAGCTGTAGGGAACCTTTCTCTAAAAGCAGAGCCGTGTTTGTGACGGTGTCCGGGAGCAGAGCACCCGGCTTTCATGCTGCTTGGCACAAGGCAGCTTCGCTGGGTTGTGTGACCCCTGCTGAGAGGGTTTTCACAATTTATTAATGAGCTTTCCACAACCCTGCTTTATCCTCCCAACAGTTCTGTGCCGTCTCTAGGAACAACAAATATATCTGGGCACTGCGGTTGAATGAACACCAGACAATTGTGTGAATGTTGTATTGGCCTTCCTCTTCCCTGCGTCCCTCCCCAGTCTAAACAGAGTTCCTGATTCAGGAGCCAGGTGGTGTGAGTTCCGCAATGGCCAGGCTGAAGGAGGTGGCGGCAGGGTCAGGAAAGTGGGAGAGAAGGCCTGTACTGGTTCTGCAGAGGTGTGTGTGGCATTTTGTTTTATTTTAAAGATCAGAGAGTAGTTGGAAACAGTTATTTTTTTAATTAATAACTCGGGAGAAGGTGAACAGAGACGTTACACAGGGTCCCTGTGTGCACACTAAAAATAAAAACACTTTATGCCATGCTTCAATACTTTATCACCTCTTGTCAGGGGCTTGAAAAGGGTCCAGTCTGTAAGTACAAATCGCCAATTTGCTCATTTATAAATGACTTCCTTTAAGGAGAAAATGGATGTCCCTCCAAGTGGAGCGTCCACGTTCTCATTTGTTTTGTAGAACATGTGGGGCTGCCCTGTCCCTTCGTGCACGTCCATCAGCCGCCTCTGAAAGCCATTGCATCGTTATCTCCTACCAATCTGTAGCGTCCTGTTTCGGCTAACTTCTTCACCAGCCTCCCCTTTGGTATATAAGTCTTTATTTCCCCCCTGCCATCCCTCTAGTTTAATAGCTCTGCAGTGGAATAGTGTTTCCAACCATGGAACTAGTTTTAATCAAAATCGACTTTGGGAAATGTGACCGTTTTTATGGTAATAGAGGACTGCTGGGCGCTTGGACCAGTGCAAGTTGTCCCCTGTGTATACCTTCGCATAGTGGAACCGTGAAATAAAGTGGAAATGCTAAAATTACTTTTTTCTTAACTGTAGTCTCCTAGAGGTCAGTGAATGATTTCCAATTGCATTGGAACAAAGACATTTGTTCTAGGTTGAAGAATTTTTCACTTGAGTAAATACATTTTCCCTATCCTTGTGCCCCCAAACCTGGCTGCCACGCTCTTTCTCTTGGGCTGTGACAAAATGGAACGTTTAGGGAGACGCAGAAAATTAGGCTTGATTTGTAGACTATCTGACTTCACGTTCTGTTTTGGTCTTTGCACTGTTCCTTGGCTAATCTTCCAACAAGTCGAATTGATTTTTACTTCAAAACTGTTTATCCCAAAACAGAGCTGTTGACAAGTCCAAATACAGATGGCAGACATGTGGTATGATTTTCCTGTTCTCATCTCAGCATTCAGGAAGAGAATGTTATTGAGAGATGGTTTATGTCTTAAGCTTTTTATTCAAGTCAACACAGAACACATGCTAGGAGTGCTTAATTATGAGACAAACACTAACAAATGCTTACAGCATTGCCTTGGTGTGTAAGGCTCATCGCCCCAGAAGACTTAATCTACTTTAAAAGTAGAAGCGACCTCTGAGAAGGGGGTTGTTTTTGATGGTCACTGACTCACTGGTGACCTCAGTACAGTGTTTAAAGCCCAAGGTCCAGCCTGTTCTCTTCCTGTGGGTAGACATGTCTCTCCTTGCACTGACCTTTGTCCTCAGCAAATGACCCTCCTGAGTATCTAGCTCCTATTCATAGGCAAATCCCAGCCCATGCTATACCCCTGTTATTCCCACAGCCAAACCTCATTAACCATTTTTTTTTTCTCCACAAAATAATTATTAGTAAGAGGAAGACCAGATGGCAGTTTTCCTCTCCTCTGCTGTTGGTTCAGGAAGCTATGCTTAGCAGCATGCCTCTGACTACCTCTGGAACAGGAGTGCTCAACCCCTGAGGTACCTGACCGGCACTGGTCTGTGGCCCGTTTGAAACTGGGCTGCACAGCAGGAGGTGAGTAGTGAGCTAGCAAGCAAAGTTTCTGTATTTACAGCCGCTCCCCATTGCTCACATTACTGCCTGAGCTCCTCCTCTTGTCAGGTCAGCTGTGGCACTAGATTCTCATAGGAGCGTGAACCCTATGGAGAACTGCACATGGGCAAGATCTAGGTTGTGCACTCCTTGTGAGAATCTAGTGCCCAATGATCTGAGGTGGAGCTGAGGCAGTGATGCTAGCACTGGGGAATGACTGCAAATATTGCATTATGGTGAATAGTATAATTATTTCACTGTATGTTGTAATAATAATAGAAATAAAGTGCACAATAAATACTTGAATCATCCTCAAAACACTCTCCCACTCCTAGCTTATGGAAGAATTGTCTTCCACGAAACCGGCCCCTGGGGCCAAAAAGGGGGACTGCCACTGCCCTGATCATTGTTGAGCTGGACTCCACCTGTGAATGGCAAGGTTATTCAGACTTCTCATGTCTGAATACCCTTCCTTAATTGCAATAACTGCTGCTGCATATCTGTACCAGTATGCAACAGTGCAACCTTGAGTGTGTCTGTTGTTTTTATATTTTTTTTTTATTAGGTTTTTAACATAGAGTGCATGTACTTCCTGGAAAGAGACAGAGGAAAAGTGAGAAATCACCTGGGGCATGGTCACACCTCAATCCCTTTTCCTCCACTGTCCTTTTAGGATTGGGGGCACATATGCACATGTACCTCGTGTGATTTTAAAGCCACTGGGTCTGGGACTCAAACCATGGTCGGCCATGTGAGAGTCCAGCATCTTAACCACTATGCCACCCACTGGCCCCAAGTGTCTCCATGGTTAACTGACTAGGGTGGACTCACTGTTGGAGTCCAGTTGGCCAGCGTAAGACTGCATGAGGAGGCAGGCAGCAGTGGCTTGTGCCATCCTTGAGGGACACTGGAAAGAGCCCTGACTGAGGTCTGCTCCCTCAGCCTCACCTCCTTTAGAGCAGGGGGAAGGGCTGGAGTGGGACTTAAGAAAGAGGTGCCAGAAACCAGTTTCACATTTATTGAATGACAACTGTAGTTAGGATGGTGCTATCCCTGATGACAGATAAGGAAATTCTGTGCCCTCCATACTGAATTTGTAGGTTTGAGTATTTTGGAGAGAATTGGTACTGTTGATACTTAATTTTTTTTTTTTTTATTTGAGAGGTTTTTGCTATAGGGCACGTGCGTTCGCCAGAAAGAGCGAGACAGAGAGATAGAAAGCAAGAAATCACCCCCCCAGGGGAGATGGCCACAGCGCAGTCCCTTCTCTTCCATTCTCCTCTCGGGATCTTGGGCACGCACGCACACGTGCCTGGCGCGAATTTAAGCCACCGAGTCCGGGACTCGAACTGCAGTCAACTACATGGGAGTTCAGTGACATAGCCATTACTCTAACTGCTGGTCCTGATCCTTTAAATTTTTAATTGGGCCAAAATTGAAAGAATCTTTTTTAAAATCTGGACTCTCTAAATGATTTGTTCATTTCAACTCTATGTTGGTATCTTGAAATCCCAGGTGAATTCAGGACTGTGTGATTTTGAAGTCTGGTGACTCCACGTATTTCTTCCATTTCCTCACAGGTCCCTTTGGTTCAGCCTCACACATTTATATCCCCTCCCCCTACACACCCCTAGCAAAAGCTCGATTTTCTGAACAATCGTGGGATGGGTTTTGATTTGAAGGCCAGTTTTGATTGATGTGCAGTTTTGAAGGATTTTCTTTTCTTTGTGGTAATTTGGGAGTTATAGTAGAATAGCGGACATATTCTGGGAACTTAATAAAGTTAATAAAACTCAGAAACGGGGGTCAGCAGATGGCGTAATGGATACATCGCTGAACTCCCATGTAGTCAACTGCAGTTTGGGGCCTCGACCCAGTGGATTCAAACTCAGAGTGGGTACGTGTGTGTGCATGCCCAAGATCCTGAGGAAAATAGAGAAGGGATTGGGGTGTGGCCACCCCCCCTGGGGGGGGGGGGGGCGGTGATTTCTCACTTTCTGTCTCTGGCAAGCCAATGTGCTCTATAGCAAAAATCTCTCTTAAAAGGCAAAACAAAAACCGGTAACAGTTGGGATACACTAGTTTTCAAGGCCTAGGTTACAAAAATGTTCAAATTCCTATGGACTCCATTCTGAATTTTATAATGGGATGGATGCTGGTGGGGTTGGCAAAATATACCAATAATTTGGATTAAAGGAGAGGCCAGTTGTGTGAAAAGTTTACATAAAATCATTGTAAAGAAGCAGCTTTATTCCCATCACGTGCATTCAGCGTTCCAAGGCATTGTTCAGTGTTTATATCAAATAGAAGGCCTACTGCACTTGGAACAATGAAGGAAAAATTTAAAATCTGTTATGTGTACAGTTGAATG